TACAAATGCATTTCTTAGGGACTAAGTTTGGATAAGAATGCTATTATAGGTTTCTCATTGTGAGTTGTAATTTTTGGTATACTAGAGGACAAAACAGTTGAGGTGGCAAGGGTATATTGGTTTATTCACAGGTAGAATGTCAGAATATTCTATGGCCAATGATTAGAAAAAGGTGCCATATGTATATCCTTCTTAAAGTAGGACTTGTATAGTGAGCTCAAGTATATATATGTTGTTATAGAATTTCTAAGGTTTTAAGCCTTGTTGAAAACCTTAGTATTGACATATATTATACTATACTCGAGAACCTCTATTGATCAAACATTTCTAAGGTCTTTGATGGTGATCTAAGGTTGAAATTAGAAATGCCAATGAATTGATCCTTGTTGCTGTATTCGCATGGAGGTTATTTGTTGTCAAGAATTGTTGCTGCAAGACTGGTTTGAAGGTTAAGTCTGAGCTTGAGCTGTGGAGCCAAGTGAAGGTTAAGACATGTATATTTAAGCTATTTACATTTGCTTAACACTAGTTCTTAAATTATACTATGCTGCAAATGATTTTCTACTCTCAGACATGTGATTTGGCCTATTTGTTGGTTTAGTTTTGTAATTTATATATAGATTGATTAAATCTTTCTATATAATAAATGATCTATATACTAGAAAGTTAATTGTATTGATGAATCCAAGATGTCGAAGTTGGACTTTTGATAGAACTTTGGTTATCTCAGGTTTTGACCTACCAAAACCCTAAGTTCTTGAGTGAACAATTGTTGTCAAGGCCTATATATGATTATAGTGATATATATATATATATATATATATACATGTTATACTTATCATTTTTATCATCTAAACATGTTTGAAATGGTGATATAAGGTTGTGGGAGTGATCTAAGAATTTTTGGGACACAAATTTTCAGATTTACCCATTAAACCCTAGTTTCTATATAAAGGGTTATAAAGACTACAAATTGGTGTTTTGAGCTATACAACCACTCTTATCTTTTGTGTAAGCTTGAATATTGTTGATATGCATTCTTTTATATGTATTTGGTGAGCTATGAGAGTTTGTAGGGTCCAAGAAAGGGTACATAGGATAGGGGGAATGTAGCGAGCACTGTATTAAGCTAGTGTGTGTGTAGAGGCTGTGAAAACTATTGTCTTAACTTGTATAAGGGTGCGTTTAGAGTGTGAGATAGCTGAGTGTGTAACTACTTGCATACAACTAGTGGAGCTTATTATTGGCTAAGCCCAAGAACTAAGGTTTTTCCCTATTGAAAGGGTTTCCTTGTATATCTTATGTTCAGAGCCTTATTGTGTATTTGTTGATCTTGTTGTGAACAAGAAAAAGTTTAATTAGACCCATTCACTCCCTCTTTTGGTTTAACAATATCTGTTTTTTGTTATGTGTGACAGTCAAAGAAAGGAAGTGGTTTTGCTGCTCCAAGTGTAAAGAAAGGAAAAAGGATTACAGGTCCATCAAACGCACAAGGAAGATGACCCTCAGTAGGACCACATAACATAATTGGGCCACAAATTGGTTTACCACAGAGAGGGAAATAATGCATGTATTTGCCAAGTTGGGAGCTAGAGGAAGTGGGGTAGGAGGATCTCAGAATCCAAGAAGTATATAAATGAAGACTTCATTTAGCAGTATGTGTCATTATGGGACAATTGTAATGTTGAACAATGATGTTTGTTGGTATTTTGCACTATGTTTGTGTTGATTTTTTTTTTTGCAACTTGAAAGAACAATATGTTTGCAACTTGTGTTTATGGATTAGGTTAGTATGTTTTTGCAGCCATTATATAGCTTGCTATATATACTGGCCTTTGCCTTAGATGGAATGAAATGGAATAATTATTCTTTTGCATTACGATTTCATCAATTACTTAAGTTTCTTCAACCATTAGATGAATGTACCTTAGATGATTTTTTTTTTTTTCATTGCAGAATTGAATCAGATGAATGAATGAAACAATACTTAGCTGTTTGCTTGATTTCATTGTCTAGAATAAAATGATAATTTCATCTCAATAATTCAGCCACAGAAATAAAACATACACACTAAAAGAAAACATACACTTGAGAAAGAACTATTGGTCTATGTATGGGGAACACAACTAATATATGCACAAATATATATACATGTCTAAGTGAAGGACATTGTTGTATTTTAGATTTAATAAGTCAAGTGTAGTTTTGTAATTCTCCATTAGTCAATGAGGTTAAAAATATCATTTGAAGCATTGGAAGGGCAAAATTGACCTTCTACCAATTGTTTCCTTCTGACATCAACGCAAACTGTCAGTTGCTAACCACAGGGGATAACTTGCTATACAAACCCAAACCTCAGGGTGGTAGGTGGAATTAAGAAAGCTAGAGGGGGTGTAAGTGAAATATTGGCAAATCTCGGGAATTTAGGTGAAATTTATCCTAAATTTTTTTATGAGTTTTGAAAACCACAAATTAATTTTATTTGCAAAATTACTATATGTGGGGGGCATAGATAAGAATTTTAAAATTTTGTGGAGCCCTCACTAATTCCGCCCTGACTTTGTGCTCAATGGTGCAGTTTCATATGAAGTGTAGTTCTAAATAAAATATATTAACAATATTAATTATAAAATGATATAAGTAGAGTATTAATTATATTGATTTTAGAAATTAGAAAAAAAAAATAGAATACTACGTGTTTAGTGAGAAAGTTAAAGAGTTTCAATCAGAACAATTATTTATACGATACATAGTTGGAAAAGTCATTCATATTTATATATTATTAGAATAGCCAAAAATATATTTTCTACATATTTTAAAGAAAGGTTGTGATAATAAAATTAAAAAAAAAAAAATTTTGTTTTTTTGAATGGAAAAGTCATTTGTATTTATAAGTTTGAATAGACACGTACAATTGTGTACCTTTTTTTCTAAATAGGTACCTTCTTAAGAAAAATCTGAGTCTATTCTAAATAGACAACTTTTAGTTAGTATCAATTTTCTTAATTATATAAACACTTCAGAAACACGCAAATGAAAAATTAAAATTCTATTGACATTCGTATAGATATTTAGATATACAAGCTTGAATAATCACAGTTTATATTTGTAAGAAAGTTGGCATGTCTATCTCATGGACATTTTTTATTTCTTATAAATACGTACTATCAATGATATAAAAGTTTCAACTTTTTTTTTTTTGGATTGAAAAGTCATTCGTAATTATAATTATAAGCTTGAATAGACGCCATCATGTCTATTCTATAAAGGCACTTTTTTTAAAAGTTTGTATCTAGTTGAAGAAGACAAACTTTAATTATTATTGTAAATAGCTTGTAAAAGAGTGAAGAAGGCATAAACTTGAAAAGGCTTGTAGGGATTTACTTTCTCTATTTCGTAAAAAGTGTTATATTTAAAGAACGGTGACTTGCATATGAGGGAGTAACTTACATATGAGGGAGTAGGTCATGCATATTCTAAGTCACACAATTCTTTTAAAAATATATATATATCTCTCTCACTCCGCCAAAAAGGGGAGAGGGGAGGAGAGTCATTCATAATCTAAATCATACCATCCTTTTAAAGATGTGCCCCTCTCTCTCTCACACTCAGCACGTGAATTAGCATTTTGAAAGCAAATCCTTTCATAATTCGCAAATTCAATTTTCTCAATTCACAAATTCAATTTGTGAATCCTCAAATTTACAACAATTTGTCATTAATTAAATTATAGACAATTACATGTGACTTTTATTATTGAAAGCAATTATCAAATATATTTAATACTTAATCAATACGGTTAAAAATGTCCAAAACTAAGAATAAACCTACAATACGAAAAAATAATAATAATAATAATAATAACAAATCTTTGTCGTATTAATGTTCGCTTTATATTCATTGCTTTTGTTTCATTATTTAAGTTTAAAAAGAGTACATATGTGCGCATAGTGTATAAACACACATATATTTGTAAACAAATTATACCAATACTTTTTATTATTACTTTATTTTGACGTTTATTATTTTATAATTCTTTAAAGTATTCATTTCATTATGAAAATTTAAACAAAATGTCTTTAAAAATCTAGATTAAGTATACAGATTATTATTAATGTTATGTATGTCCAAATATAGAAAATAAGGTTACTTGTAGCTTTAACACATTTTTTAATGCTTATGAAATTACATTTTTATTATTTCACAAATAATATCATAGCCTTTTATTATATGTACAAATATTGAGAATATTTCACACATATAATAGCATATAAGTGTGTACAGACGTTTTGGAGGCGCTCCCACTCTAACCAAATTTCCCGCTCCTGCTTTATGGGACTTAGTCCCTACTTACGTATAATTTTGTACAATTATGCGTGTAGTCTGTGATTACTAAATAAAGAATGTGATAAATAAGAAAATTAAAGGGGATGATTGAATTTATTTTTTAAAAAAGTTATTATTTCAATTTATCACTTTCTTGATTTTGTAATCACAGAATATATATATATTTATGATTGAACCACATGAACGGTGACCATTGTCCATTAAGTAAAGAACAAAACTTATCTGCACAGAGAGAATGATTAAATTTACTTCAAAAAAGAATTATTATTTTTTTTCACCACTTTTCTAATTTTATAATTATAAATTATTTATATATTTATGATTGAATTACAAGAGTAATCAATAAATATGACCTGCTCAATCAACGAATGGGCAAATATTATCCTCAAACCAACGCATTTACTATTTTGTCAACTAGTGGTCATGTCTAAGTTGGCCCTCGAGGTCATGTCTAAGCGGACGCATTTGGATTGGATTCTATTATTCCTTCCTATCCATAGATATAAGTTTTCAAAAACATAGGGATAGAAAAAGTAATTCAAAATTCTGACATATATACATATATATATATATGTGTGTGTGTGTGTGTGTGTGTATATAAAGATTAGAGGTAGATCAACCACCACAATCTATATTCATTGTGAGTTGAAAAACTTCTGAAAAATTAAAATTAATAATAAAAAGGGATGGTACGAAAAGGTGAGAAGACAAACCCTCAATCGACACAAAGTCGGCATGACAACTACTTTAACACTATCAAAAGGATAAATTTTAGGTTCAAATTATTTTTAATAGGATCAATTTCGTAGGACAACATATTCTGACGCGAACATAATCCAAGATCTTGCATACAAAAAAAAAAAAAAACACATACCAAAGCACAATTTTTTTGGGCATGATTAGTGTTATAAATAAGTGGGACATGCACATATATATATTCCTCATTTATAAAATTGTTTAACCTTTCCGAAAAAATAAAAAATAAAAAAGTGGGACAAACAACTCAATAATCTTAGAAGAGAAATAAAGGGAGAAACACCGAAAAATATTTTATTCTATTTAATTTAAATAGGTAAGAGTTTATAAAAAGTAAAAGCATGCATTCAAGTTTAATTTCTAACAATTATTAAAACTGATTCATGGCAACAAGTGATGGACTAAGAAGGCTACATGAGCCACGACCCTTAGAATGATCCATTTCCATTAAGACCTCATAGAAATGATCAACGTTGCATGGAAGCTCAAGAGGGCCTTTGCTGTTGAACCCATACTCTAACTCAGCTTCTTCAAGTAGCATCTTGAAGAGTGGGTGGTTGGCACATTCGGTCTTGATCACAAACCTTTGTTTCTGGGGTCCAACATACACTGAGAAGCAACCTTCGGGAGCCACTCGACCATTCTTCCCGCGCTTTTCCTCCTCCGGTGCAGCCCTAAGCCGAGGCCACGACTTGCTTTTCCTCATCAGAACACGCTGAATTCTTGATGAACTCTTGCCAGTGCCACCGCGGCCGGATGAGCAGCATCGCTCCAACGTCGTGATGATCACCCCTTTCTTCCCTTTTTCCTTAATGAAATTCATTTCTTCTTTAGAGGAATTTAAATAAATAAAAAATATCCAGACCAAAAAAAAAATGAAAAGAGGAATGTTGAGCTTAAAAAATAGAAATCATATGCAAGTGTATAAATTTGGCTAGATATTTTGCAACTTATTTCATTCATTTACAAGAGTCTGATAGATGTAGAATGTTATTGGTAATATATCATGGATCTAATTTAGTTGAGTGAGATCTTTCATTTAAATTTTGTTTTCTCTCAACTAAATTCTATAAAATTATGTGGTCCCCTTTAATGTATCATACTTCCGTACGAACATGCATGGTTAATGCAAGAAGAGTTTTTCTAGAACACGCTTAAACACATCACCAAACATACAAGAATGAACCTCATCCTACTTAATGTCACACCCTAATTTTCTATACAACACCTTCAAAGGAAAATATTTGTGTAGATGACGTGAATAAAGAATCAAAGATGTTACTGGGAAAATAAGACTTTTAATATGACAAAAATGTGATAGGGTTAACTTCAAAGGGTTGGCCTAGTTGAAAATGCTTGGCCCTAGAGTCTTATTAAGTTTCAGACCTCAAATTCGATTTTCCTTAGGTGCGAGCAATTCTTTAGGACCACGAACGCGGACATAGTCCGACTTTTACCCGATCCGTGTCGGGTGGTCGCCTTGCATAGGTCCCGTGGATTAGTAGGGCAAAACTCTGAATACCCCAGTTATAAAAAATAAAAATAAAAAATTTGATAGGGCCTATGGAATGAAGAGACCACCTAAAATTGAGTTTTGGTACATTAGGTTATCAAGAGAATGTGATAATGAGTTGAGTGCATGATGCCTAATATGATGACATTCATATGGTCTAAGGAACTAGATTAATAGATTCGGATGTGTGACCATACATGAAAAACGAGTTAGACACACCATACTTATGCATGATTGTTAAGATTTCACATGATTGATCTCTAAGTATGAGTTTGTTGGTAAATGTTGAATCTTATGTGAGATTCATCTTTGCTTTAATATTTTTGAGCACATCAATATGACACAATGAATTGAATTGACCCATTCCAAAAATAAAAAAGAATTGACGTATTCGGGGATGACGTAAGTGTTACATGCAAGAGATGCATAATGCAACTAATCCTAATTTGAAATTTAAAAAAACATAATTTATTTTATGGGTGGAATCGAACCTTAGAGTAGCCTAAGGCTGCTTATGCATCATTCTTTTGAAGAGGAAAAAATCAAATTCAACACTAATTCAAATGTGACATATTTTGATCTAAGGTAGAGTTTTGTTTCGAAAATTAGGGGTGTGAATGGTTGAAGAGAATGATTTTGAGAGGGAAATTAAATATTTGAGAATGTTTATAAATCTTTTCGAAAAATATAGGGAGCTGTTATTCACATTCCAAAATTATACACTGATGTTTATTTTTATTTTTATTTATTCGGGAATAAATTAACAAAATTAACCCTAAATTATTCTAGTAGGTCTTCCTTTATCTCTCCTCATTGATCTCTACTACTCTCTCAGGAAAAAATCTCTTTTCTTTCAATCTTTGCATGCTTCCTTTTTCACTCAAACTCAATCCCAGAGACCTACCATCAAATTACTCTGGTTTCCATCTCTTTTCTTTCTATTTATGTATGTTTCCTTTTCACTCCATCTAAATCACCAACCCATACCATTTACAATTACCTATTTATTTAATATTAATTATTTTGTATACAATTGTGAATGAGAATATGCATAATTCCCGTAAATCAATGTCAATTAGATTTTTAAGGTGAAATTTTAGAATTAGATGAAGAAAAAGAAATATTCAGAACATTAGTGTCCATTTCTATCAATAGAAGAATTTATCAAAGTTGGAAAAAATTATACTTAACCCCCCCCCAACACACAAAAAAAAAAAAAAGCTATCAAATAAAAATAAAAAAAAATAAAAAAAAAAAAAGAACTTTGAGAGACAATATAAACATTACACGGTTTATGATTATAGTCTTTAAGGTTACTATTAGGTCATGTTTATCTTGTTGTCCTGATCTTCATCATCAACAATTCTTTTTGATTTATCTTTAATATGTTGAGGGCAATCCATATGAAAAAACTTTAAAAAATAGACAATTTTATTGGTATAAATCACTGTTAGTATAATTTGGGAGGGAAAATATCTGCTCCCAAAATATAATGAAAAATCCCAAGTCTTTGAGAAAGGTGCTTGCATTTTGAAGCATTAATTGAAAAGTTTTTGATGAAATTGTGATGGAGTATGGTACCAACTTGGTCAATGGGATACGGCCGGAGTATGTATTCATAATATGAGCAGAACCTAAAAACGGAATTTGCCCTCATAATTAAACATGCTTTTAATAAGCGATTAAATTAAACATGGGACGACCCAAGTTACCAAGTATTGTCTTTATGATAATACCAAAGGGCACTAGTCTATACAATATAAGCTCCTCCCTAATTGGAGAGGTTGAGTGTTTAAGTCTTTGTGGATACATAATATAACTTTGGGATAAACTTTTTTAATTGGGGTAACAAAAATTATTTTTTCAAAACATTAATTTTTCAGAATATAATTGATCCTAAAATTATTAATTATGATAGAAAAACGTGACCTAATCTCAAAAATAAAAAAATAAAAAAGCTTTAAACAGTCATAACAGTGACGTTGCCGTAATTCCGGCAAAATTCTGATTAAATCCATGATTAAAAGATCTTTTTCGGATGATGAAGACTTGATTTCTAACTTAATTAACATTTTGATCAGATCATAACTTTTGATCTGACATATAAAACGTTTTGACCAATAAGAATAAGGGTATATTTTGTCGTTTTACAAAACAAGCTTTATTCAATTAAAGAATACATATGTAGAAAAAAAATACATATGTAGAATGTAATTGATCCAATAATTATAAGGTCGTCAGTGTTTTTTTTTTTTTTCATAACACAGGCCATGGAGAGCTATCTGTAATTAAGAATATTTATAAAGGAGGTAAGTATAATTATTCTAATTTTTGTTGATATTTTATATATAGATATAGACATAGATAAAGACTAGAAGGCCGATCATGAGATCAATCACCACAATCTAAATTCATTATGAGTTGAAAAACTACAGAAAAAAACAATAATATTAATAATAATAAAAGGGAATTAGTATGAAATAGTGAGAAGACAAAACCTCAATCAATACAAAGCTGGCATTATAACTACTTTAACACGATCAAAAGGTACCTTAGATATACAGCTTGCCTCCTTCTAGATCTAATGTACAAAAGTAGGTATATATATATATATATATATATATAACAGAAATTATATATATATATATATATATGATTATTCTCATATCTAAAAACACATAACAAGGTCTTAAATTCATGCAAATTAAAAAAAAAAAAAAAAAAAACCACAATCCAAAGCACATCGATGATCAGAACTGATTCATGGCAACAAGTCGAGATGGACTGAGAAGGTTATATGAGCTGTGACTCTTAACAAAGCCACAACCCTTAGGGATCTCTTCAGAGTGATCCATTTCCATCAAGACCTCATAGAAAAGATCCACGTTGCATGGAAGCTCAAGAGGGCCTTCACTGTTGAACCCATACTCTAGCTCAGCTTCTTCAAGCAGCATCTTGAAGAGTGGGTGGTTGGCATATTCGGTCTTGATCACAAACCTTTGTTTCTGTGGTCCAACATACACTGAGAAGCAACCTTCAGGAGCCACTCGACTTTTCTTCCCGCGCTTTTGCTCCTCCGGTGCAGCCCTAATCCGAGGCCATGACTTGTTTTTCATCATCAGAACACGTCGAATCCTTGATGAACTCTTGCCAATGCCACCATCCCATGACCAGCATCGTTCCAACGTCCTGATGATGACCCCCTTTTTCCCTTTTCCTTTAGCCAAATCCATTTCTTCTAGTAACTAGGAACAAATAAATCACTAGATGTACAAAGGACTACAAGGCCAAACCAAATAATAGAAAAGATGGATGTTGGACTATCAAGAGATTGAATTTGTTTGAATGGCTATGAACAAAGACTTCAAATGGAGATTAGAAAGTATGAACGAATTCGGTTTTTAGTTACCCTCTGTCATAAGCCAAATAGAACATGACTTTCATCATTGGCATCATTGTGTTGCTCATACCTAATTTGGAGTCAGTAGAATTGAAACCATGCAAATTAAACTCGATGAACTCTAAGATTTAGCAAAGAAATATATGAATATATATAAGTGAAGGCTTAGGTACAAGATGAGCAAGTTATAAGAAGTGTTTATGATCTGAAGAGCTTGATCCAGAACCAGAAGTAGCTAGAGAGATGCATGATAGGAATAGATAAGAAACAGAAGAGGACTTCACAGGTTGTGCTTATAATTGCATGAGTCTTATTATGACTCTTATCTATGATATGGGTTAAATCTAAGCACACATGGAAGTATATATAAAGCCCACTAGGGTATATGATAATGTAGCTCCTATAAAATAAGCCGCCATCAGATGTAGAAAAATTACACATTTTGAAAATACAGTTTTGTCCTGTCATGAGTTGACAATAAGAGCATTTGTTTTCAGGTGATGTACAACTTGTTTTTGGGCTCTTTGTTTTAATTAATAAAGTACTTTTAATGGGTATCCACTTGTCAACTCTGAATTGGCCTCTTTTTCTTGTTATTATTGTTTTTGATTTTTTTCCTTACAATGACATGAAGGGGCCAGCTTGTGTGAACTGAGTTGCTATAAACAAGTTGACAAACTCACAAACAAAGTTTAGTGGGGGAGATTTAATTACAGGATTCTAGATTCTCCCTCCAAGAAAATTTTCATCCTCTGCTAATGGAGATCAATTTAAGTTTTCTATTATCAATGCTTTTGACTATGTAAAGTTAATGGACATTTCAACATATATATATATATATATATATCATTGATGATGCATATACACACACAGATACACATAATTTTTATTAATACTACGCCATGAAAATCGACCATAGTGGTTATCAATCAGCAGTTACACTTTATATTTAAAGTAGATGAAGATCCTCACTTTATATTTGAAGTAAGTAGATGAAGTTCCTCTAATTTGAAACCAAGAGATTCAATAATTACGTAAAAATTATGTTTAAAATCATCGAATTATAAAAAGAGAGTTTTAGTTCAAACTGGGAATTATGTTTTCCCAAATCCACTTCTTTGTAGTAGCTAACATAATTAAACAATACTTTAATTCATTAATTGGTTAGTTAGAAAAATACTTATTTTTCTTATTATTCAAGGAATTCGGTGTTGTTTCTTATCCAATAAAGAGTGTTTGGTAATACAATTTAAATATCACTGAAAATGGTAAGTACCATTTGAAATGGGTAAAATTTTAAGTGAAAAAAATATTACTTATTAGTGAATATTTAATACTGAAAATTAAAAAAATATATTAAAAAATATTAAATTTTTTTAATAGATAATACTTAGATCCTTACTAACGAGGATCTAGACCAATATTTATGTGTGATTGGTTTGACAGAAGATTGGCTTCTTATCTGAATTTTAAAGTGCAGAGCCTTTTGGTTGTTTCCTAGTTTTGTATTGTAATTTTCCTTGTTTTTATTGGGATGTTGATTGTGGACTCGATCCACTTCTTGCTTTGTAATGGAGATAAATTTCCTCATTGTAATTGTAATTTTTGAAACTTATATATATATACATATCTCCTCATTGTAATTGTAATTTTTGAAACTTATATATATATACATATCTCCTCATTGTAATTGTAATTGTAATTTTTGAAACTTATATATATATATATATATAAAATAAAATAAAATAAGCAGTTCAGTTAAAAAAAAAGAAAAGATGTGGACTAATAATAAATAGACACGTCCTATTTTAATTATCAAATTATAGAGGGTGATTGATTTGATTTGGTAATTAAATATGACATGTCCATTTATTATTGGTCTACGTTAGCGGTGAATGTGTTGTACATAATCCTGAACCTTCTGTATTTAAAATTCAGCTTTTAAAATTTTTAATACTTAATTTTTAATTTTATTAAATTGCACCTTTCCCTAACATGGATTAATTGTGGGCAACTACTTGCAAGTTTTGATTAATTATTTTATATATATCACCCAACATGTGAACAAATCACATATGGCATTGAATTTTCCCTTAATTTAAATTTTCCATATATAGTAGATCAGTAAGAATATATGCAGCGCCCTAATATGAATTTTCTACCATAAACACCAAGATGACAAAGTTTCCATAAAAGCACTACTTTTCAGTAATCAAGAAAAACACTTCTATCAGAAGTGGGTTGGTAAATGATAATTACTGGGTACTTGGGTATATTTGCAAACCGCCCATCATGACTAGGTCTCTCTCTCTCTCTCTCTCTCTATATATATATATATATATTTATATTTATATATCTATCTATCTATCTCGCCCAACAGCCCATTATGCATGACTGATTCACGGTGCATGATGCAGTTTCGGCATTAACTTTCAACCCAGGTGACCTGTATGATGCAGTTTGGCATTAACTTTCCAATAATGCAGTTTTGACATTATTTAACATAAAAAATTTGGGGTGAGAGGGTGTGCGTAGGTTATCAAGGTCAACTTCTTATAAACATAATTGTGTGGTTTTGAGTTTAACACGTCAAGAAAACTTAAATTAATTATAATTATTGAACTAATAGTAATAAGAAACCAAAAACAAAATCGTTTAGACATTTTCAACCAATTAAATAATGGTTAAACAAACATATCCTTGATTGTCTACGCCATTCCCACCTCCCATCTTTGTCTTAAAAAATATATAACGTTTGATGGTGATATAACATTATTTGAAGGGAAAATGAATATTTGGAAAAACTAAAATACTTAAAGTCCATTACATATAATTGTATGCCCTACCTAGAAATTTGGATAGTATGAAAGTGACTCGTCTAAAACTCGAGCATGCATCTTTACATTTGTCAGTTCAGACATTTATCATTACACCAGCGATGACCCTTTAAAATTGCACAAAATTAGTATTTTGCAAACATTAATTTGAGTTACACCATTGTTGTCATTCCAACTTGTTAATTGTTATTGTAATCACCATGGAGGGATCCAGATATAGTTATTGTCAAGGTCGGTGCCTGGTATTCACGTCAACACACACACATACATGTAGGTCCGTGCCTGGTATTCACTTCAATTCGATTGATCGGCTGATTATATTAAAGAAAAAGAAAATAAATATATGAAACTGTGTATATTGATCAATTGAGTAAGAATAACAATATATACACAAATCCTATATACAGGAGAGGTTTGGGGATAGGTAAGGTGAGTAACCACAAGTAATTGTGGATAGGTGAAGGGATAAGTAAGGTGTGTTGTACAAGAAACCCTAAATCATAATATATGTGTAATCTTAAAGCTCCTTCAAAGTCAAAAGGGTTTTATAAAGCCCTCTTAAGTTTGGAGACAAGATGTCGAAAAATAGCCTAGTGGAAGATATTTAGTGAACATATATATTTGCTATCTAATCATGAGAAGCGATTGACCGCAACTACAAGATCGACATTCTAAAGAAGATGCTAAACAAAGTACAATCATTCGCAATGTGTTTGGTGCACTCATGAAAAACATCATTGTGTGCATTATGAATTTCTTCTATTGTCATAATAAATAGGAGTAGCAGTGTATAGACACCACATTTTTGCCCTCCCCTTTCGATTCACTAATCATATAAACCTTGAGAAGGAATGACGTTTCCATCTCCCGAGACCAATTCATCGATAGGGCTCACTTACGGTAAAAAAATTGAAAACTGAGAACCAGACCGTCCAATCGGATATTGGACTTCAACAACATTTAGAACATCACATAACCATAGGAAACACTTAGATCGACCACATCACACACTTCCTGACACCCGATCACTAATTTCCCAAAAAAAGGCAAAATTGGGATTTTACAGTACAACCCTATCCTATGATTGTCAGAATCCTAGGGTACACTTCTTCTTGAAGTCTCTACCTTTCTCCAACACACACTTTGACCAAACTCTTCGGTGGGGCCCGAACGGTTAACTCCGAGTTTGACTTTCCACACCAATGGTCAAAATCACTCACGGATCTCATCACCATTGTGCTTAGAAGGTCCATAAATATAGAAAAGCAATATAATATTGCTTACCTTCCAGCCCAGCCCCACCTTTAACCAAGTCTCTATGATAGAGACTAAAGGATTTTTAAAGGATACCCGTAATTTTAAAGCATTTTTAAAGGCATTTTTAAATTAGTTTTATTTGATTTAATTGGCATTATTTATTAATTGACATTATTTAATTAATTGGCTTATTGATGCGTCACTTAGTGTGCGTTTATTATAAATCCACACTAGCTATAGCACAAATTAACAAGAAAGTGGCTAAGTAGGGATATCGATCCACGAAGATTGCGAAACTTATGGCAATCAAGTTTCAAAGATTAATTTCGTGCTGGTTAATGTCACAAAAGATGATTGATTTGTTTGTTTGTCGTTTGCATAAAGATTAAAATAAACTAAATTGAATTTAAAGAACAATTAAAGGGAGGCTATGGAATTGAGTTCACCAAGACCTTGTAATCATGCATACTTGTAAATAACTTGGTGATACAATTACGTGTGATATGAAGGCCCAAGTTTTTACAAATCCGGTGCGTCAGTGATGACCAAAAAGATGACCCGATAACGGATCCCGAAATGCGAAAGCAAAAAAAAAAAAATGAACAAAACTCTAGAGATGTACATCATCCCTAAGACACAAAAGTGATTTCCCGAGAAGTCCCGAGACTCAACGAAAGCAAAGCGGAAACAAGGGTTTCAAAATCCCACAAGGAATGGACCAAGGGTAAAATAGTCATTTAATCCAAAAATAGGTGCTACCGTGCACACCATTGGAAAGATAATGAAAAATTAATAAAGTTAGATTCAAGAATCATCTAATTTGGAGTCTGGATGACAAAGATATGGAACCTCAAAGTTTTAAAAACAAAAGCCAAAATTTAAAAGTGCTGAAGGGAATCCACCGCCGGCAATCGATCGTCATAGCCAGCGATCGATCGCCAAAATGGGCGATCGATCGGCTTTTGCAGAAATTGATGCGCTACACCAGATTTTCTGTGGCTGCAATCGATTTTCGATACCCAAATGATTTTTTTTGAAAAAAAGTTGTGAAGCAACCCCCCCCCCCCTTCTCTAAAATCATGTTTTCTACACAATCATGTCAAAACCAACTCTTATTTTTCACATGAAATACCCAAAATGCCCTTATGCGTATATTTTGTAAAAATAAGAAAATACAAGAAACTAAAAATGCACATTACATATAATTGAAATGTTTGGCC